CCGCCGACCACCTTTCACCAGCGTGGGGGCTTCCGATCCCAGTCGGGAGGTAAAGATGCACAGGGTGGACATTCTCATATCTATATATTACTTCTTTCTTTTCAAAAAATAAAAATAGGAAATTGAAAAACACTAACTCATTCTGCTCCAAGAGTCGGTTCTACACAAACACAAGTCCCTTCTGTTTGAGGTCGTCGCTGGATTGGTGATGGACAGGGGTGCCTCTGTCAAACGCTGGACCCTCTGATCTTCATTCCAATGACACGCTGCCCTCTCCTCTCTCTTGCCCCTCTGCATTTCGTGCCGGCGTCTCTCTGTCTCTCTCTCTCTGTCTGCGCTTTTATCTTTCTGGTCGTTTTTCTCTCTCTCTCCGCACATGCTTGTTTTGCTTTTTTATTTTATGTACATTTTTGTTCGGCGTTTCGGATTTCTGCCGCTTTCGTTTCTCTTCCTGCGACGTCGCTCTCTCTGGGGGGCTAGCCGTTGACAGAGAGAGAGAAAGAGAGGGAGAGAGAGTATAGGAGGGGAGGAATGAGAAGAGGGATCGGGTAGAGAGAGAGAGAGAGAGAAAGAGAGAGAGAGAAAAAAACTGAAACATAGTTAGCGTCTTGTCGTAAATAGGCACATCAAAAAAATATACATACAAGACAACTTTTTCTTTTTACAAAGGTACACTTGATTGCTAGAGATAAGACAACAAAAGGGACAATGAAGGGGAGGACGGGGTAGGGTAGGGCAAGACAGGGAGCTGAGGTGAAGGGGAGAGAAAACGTGGGTCATTTCTGGCTGTCGAGGCCTGTACAAATTGTTAAAAAGGCTGTGAAATACACATCTTTTATCTCTATATATAAATATACACAGACATTATGTACACAGTCACAGGGTCAACTCCCCGCACATACCCCACCCACACCCTGCAACATCCCCCCCCACACAAACAAAAACAGCCCAGAGCTCTTCGCATTCCCAAGATTTGGCTGTAGTGAGTGGGGTTAAAGGATGAACATCTACCAAAGCACCGACCAGGAGATGGGGACGGCGGGCAGATACAGGGACAGATCTACCCCGGGGGTGGGGGCGGGGAAACAGAGGAATTGCAGAGGTGGTGGGTGGAGGGCATGGGTCTGTCTCTTTCTCTGTGTGGGTCCCACTCAGCGACGGAGACGTGATCCTGGGGTGGGAGCATGGGGGGGGGGGAGTGGGGAAACAGGATTCACACAACACATCCACCTTCGGCTCCCCCAACCCGCCCGTGAATCACCACCTTCTACGCCAACATAACCACAAGCTCCCGAGGGGACATCAAACAAAAAACAGAGCCCATGGAAAAGGAACTTGAACCCGTTCCCCCGAAAAGCAATGTCTAAAACGGGCGTGGTGTTGGGGAGAAACGGGAAGTTATATACCAGGAAGACATGGGCGGGGGAGGGGGGGAAAGGCAGGAGAGTCGGCGGATTGTCGAAAAGGAACAGATGTAGTGTCTGTGCCGCCTCATCCACCAATCCTACAAACACTGCACCTCCCCCTCCCCCAATCCCACACCGCCAAGGCCCCCCACCCCAGGCGTCGGACACAGGCCGGGAGAGGGTCAGAAATTCGGCGCCTGCAAGGCGCTCAGCTTGCAGTCGATCTTGGTGCTATCAGATCCGAGAAAGGTGAGAGCCAGTGAGCTCAGGAACCCTTGACACTCCTCCTCGCTTTCGAAGGCCAGTTCCGACTGCACGTAGGAGACGGGCAATGCTGGCCGGTAACTAGACAGCAGGAGAGACAGAGAGAGAAAGAGCAAGAGAGAGAGAGAGGAAAGAGGAAAGGTGGGCAAAAAAAGAGGTTAGCGAGCGACAACATAAAAGACACTTCAATACAACCGGTACGCAAAACATCAATGATATAAGAGGGCGGCGGCAGGGAGTGTGGTGGAGTGAAGGAACCCTGGTTCCAGCACCATCCCAGGCACGAGGGCGCGCGGGGCCCGGGTGTAGACCAATGCACAGCGCACACATGGACACACTCACGCAGAACACTGAGTCACAGAAACAGCTATGCTCAGGGACAAAGAGAGGGAGTGGGGAGAGGGGGAAAACGCCACGCTCAGGGGGAAGAGAGAGAGAGA